ATTCAGCTCAGTGGTAGAGCACTGTTTAGATGTGGAGGCCCTGGCTCCATCCCCAGCACTGCCCCTGAACAAGGAACCTGTATAAGTGACTACAGAGCTGTAAAATGCCAAAGTTCCCTAGAGTGCCCAGAGAAAACCACAAAAGGACAAGCAAGACAGTGCTGAATGTATAAATCAAAGGAAGGAAAGAAACCAAGTGTGCCTGGTGGCACAGGCCTGTCATCCCAACATTCAGGTGGCTGAGGCAGGAGGACTGTAACAAGTGCAGAGTCAGCATGGGCTGCATAGTGAGATCTTGTCTCAAAACAAGCAAACAAAACAAAACTGTGCAGAGAAACTTTCACTATCTACCAACAGAGAACAATTTCACTAAGACATACCCACGCTCTGGAACTTTGTCCCCAGATGGAAAGATCTCCAGGACAGATCTCTACTAAAAAATGCCAAGGGCAACAGATTGCATAACTTTGATCCCTTTGGTGAACATAGATAAAATGTTCTCCAGAGACGCATGCAGTCTCTTCACTGTCCTCTCAGAAGGATACCCCAACACAGTTCTTGACAGCTGCTCTTTGGGAAGATGGGGGGGTGCAGAAGGGTTATGTGCAGGACGTTTGCCGACAGGAGTTATTTGGGAAGAGGCCAATCAGAGTCCTTAGACATTGTTTTCTTTTAAAAAGTTAAGCACACACAGTCCCCAGCCAACAGCAGCACAGTTCACTGCTTTGGACTTTGGACTGGTATGAAAATTATATGCATTCCACAGGGTTTGCATTTGTGCTTTTCCTGGGCTAGAGATAAGAAGCCTTGTCCTTTCTCCAGACCCAAGGGCAAGGCACTGAACTTCATATGTTCAAGGCTTAATCCTTGACTGATGCTGTTGCGTGAGCACAAGAACTCAGTAAATTGTAGGGGACCTGCCCTCAAAGGAGAGAGCAGGTTCCTGGCCTTCTCTCCTTTCTCTGTGTTTATTTATTTATTTGCACTACTGGGTACTGAACCCAGAGCCTTTGCACTGAGCTACATCCCCAGCCCTTTCTCTTTCTTGTTTATTCCCTGAAGCCTGCGATGAGGGATTTACTGACTAGATTATAATTGTGCCATGTACATGGTCCAAGCTGCACGGCTATAACAACAGGGTATGCTGGCAGGGCCTGATGAGGAATAGTACCCAAGATGTTTGTTGTTGTTGTTATTTGGAGACAGGATCTGCCTGTGTAGCACAGGCTGACCTTGAGCTTACAGGGGTCCTCCTGCCTCATCCTCCCAAGTACTGGGATGACAGGTGTACATCTGCTAAAAAAAAAAAAAAAAAAAAAAAAAAAGAAGAAGGTGCAAGTCTGTGCTAGCACCTGCACTTATTTTCTCTCTAACAAGGTTGCTTAAGGAACTGGTACAGTGGTGGCCAGAGGAAAGACAAAGAGGAAGGAATGGGGAGGTGACGGCTTTTTACAGAAAGTTTCTACTTACAAATGTTGGCCCCATATGCATGTATTGCTGGCTGTAAAATTATGTTTGGCAAATAATAATTTCTGATAATGGGCAGAGGATAAATCTCTAGGGCCTACACTGGGGTGGTTTGGGACAGTCCCCTGTGGACCTCAGCAGAGAGGGTGTGCTTTCAAAACCTTAGGGTCTCCTCTATGAGCTGAGAGGAAAAGCCAGTGTAGACTTCTGCAATCCCAGCACTCAGGAGGCTAAGGTAGGAGGATCTCTATAAGTTTGAATCCAGCCTGGGCTGCACAGTAAGATTCTGTCTCAAAACAAAACATAAAGAAGATCAGACATGGGCCAAGGCTCTGACCATGCCAACCCTGGCTCCTTCTCACTGGAAGAGCTGACCAGGTGTGGTGTAGCTGCTGGGAGGTGGGGCTCCCCCTCCTGGGATTTGTGGGAGCACAAAGATCACCCCCACTCACCAAGGTGCCTTTCCTTTTTCTTCTCTCACTTTGGTGCCCTCCCTAGAAACTCCTGGTTCACATTTCCGGTCTAGGTTATCCCTGGCAGTGGCCCTGTCTATCAGGGCTGAAGGTCAGACCTTAGGCCCAGCAACAGATGACACTATGCTGGGTACCCATGAGGGGCTGAGAGGGCTGCAGGGGCAGAGTCTTGTTTTGGGGAACAAAACTACTCACCCCACAGACATCAGCCTCAACCTCAGTTGCCCCACCCTCTTTTCTAAACCCAGGAACTCAGGGAGAGTGCAGGCACAGACATACAGCAGCTTCAGTAATGTAGCAGGCAGTTCCGCACCTCCAGCCTCCAGAGATCACTCTTGCTCATCACCCAGAACATTCTATGGCTCCCTACTGCCCGGCAGACCACAGACAACCTTTTACTCAGACATTTGACGTTACGCATTTCCTGCCCTCAATATACCCTTCTAACTCTTCCCTCCATCCATTATAATCTCTAACTCAAAGCACC